GGATGGGGACACGGGCCGGGATATCAGGGAGACGGGCTGGGATGGCAGGGACGCGGGCCAGGACGGGGACACGGTCTGGAATGATGGGGACCACGGTCTGGGATGGGGACACGGGCCGGGATGACAGGGACACGGGCCAGGACGGGGACGCAGTCTGGGATGACAGGGACCACGGTCTGGGATGGGGACACGGGCCGGGATATCAGGGACCCGGGCCGGGAGGCGCTCCCCGGGTGCCTTGCCAGTCACATGTTCTGTTAATTAACTCGCTGCACTCTAATAAACAACCCTATTTTAGTTGTTTATAGCTCTGCCTAGTTGTTTGGTTCGTTCAGCAGAACTAGTGGGACCAACCCCTTCTGTACGACTGTCACCTCTGCTACCTTGTGTGACACCAGCTGGTGCCTCCACAGGCAGAGCCTGTTCCGGGGTGACGGGGGTTCCCCCAGTTTGCCTTTTGGGGGTTATTTATTTACTCATCTATTGATGCCATTGTTGGTTGTGGGTAAACTGAACCACTTTGAAATAACTCGGACGCTCCCAGTTCAGAGTCGCTCCTCAGAAGTCTGGGGAGTCCCCAGCACGCTGGCAGACCCAACAGGATGGTAACGGGCTCTTCCTTTTCTAGGATGGATTTTCACAGCTATCGGCCTATGAAAGGAAAAGGCTAAAGAACATTACAGAAAATGCTAAATTCTTTGCTTCCCTAAAGCTGCACGAGGTTTGTATTCTGCCTGCGGTCGATATTCTCTCAGTAACTGTAACACAGGATTTGACCCATCGCTTTTGTTATGAAACCCCTTGCTAAGTGACACGCGTCTGAGAGCCATGAAAACTTCCTGGCGCATCAGGACTGCCTGGACTAGTCTCTAACAAGTTGTTTTTATGGCACCCATTGGGTTTTTTTTTTTTTTTTTGAAAGGGGAAATCATTAGTTAGATTTATAAGTTAGAAAAAATATAGTGCTAGTAGGTATGCACCCAGAGCAGAGCCCGTAGGAGCAGGTGGGGTGGCTCTGGGTTAGCCAAACACACACAGAACCATCCGTCACACGGGGGTGCTGGTGTTGGGAAGAAGCTGCCGGACTTGGGCAGCTGGACACCTTCCCCTGCGTAAGATCCAGCCGGGATGGCAGGGCAGCCTGTGCCTGGTAATCCTGTCTGTTTTGGAGACAGGATTTAGCAAGTTAAAGTAATATAGAATTTTAAACATTATCTGCTTGAGCGGGTCGGGTTCTTTGCCCTTCTTTCTGCACTGCTTCTCTCTTCTAGCTTCCTAAAGTTCAGAGTAGATCCCGTTTCTGGCAGCAGTGAGCGAGTTCCTCCTCCTGCCCCTTGCCAACTGGACGTGGTTGGGCCTCGCTGGGAGGCAGGAGGGCTCTGCACCAGCACGGCCCAGGCCCAGGCTCAGGCCCAGGCCCAGGCCCAGGCCCAGGCTCAGACCCAGGCCCAGGCAGCTCCCCTCTGCCCGGCACCTCGGGCAATTCCACGTGCATCTTTCCTGGGGTCTAAACCAGCAGCATAACGCAGGCTTTAAATGCACTGAAGAAAAAAACGGGGATGGAGGCCCCGGAGGTGGCAGATTCTCCTCTCAATGGCACCGTCTGGGGCAAGCGTTCAGAGCATTTTCTTGGCTTCATAAAGAAAATATCTACAGAACATCCAGACGGGCTCCGCTATTTTCCTAAACATCATTTGCAGAAATGAGGGAATTCTTAGTAGCATGGGGAAGACCAGTGCAAAGCAGAAACAGCACAGTTTAATATTTAAAAATCCCCTTTTATTATTGCTTTGTAAACAATTATGATATAGTTTATTGCAGCCTCTAGATAACTTTGTATATTTTTTATTTTTGTTACATGCTTTTCTTAATTCTTTTTTTTTCTGCTTTTTAAGTCAGCTGCAAGACTTCAAAAAATTGCAAATAAAGTACAACCTCACGTCACCAAAAGGTAAAAATAACTATGGGATTTGAATCCTTGTTCCTTTGGTGTGTTTTAGCTGGGGAGAAATTCCTCTCTAAAGCTGTGTCTAAGGAACATTATTTTAAACTCTGTGAAATCATGAAAAGGCAGATCTCTAGGTAGTGTCTTTCCCCTGCTGTCCTTTGGGGGGAATATGTCAGTGTGAATATTTCATCAAGTTACAGAAGTTATTCTTTTTGTGATATGTGTATTAAGGCATTTCAAGTACAGATTTGTTTTTTTTTTCTTAAAATATTTTGCATGATGGCTAAAAGAAAATAACTGTTAAGTAATGAAAAATGAATAATAAGGAAGGAAATGGAAAAGAAGGAGAGAGAGAAGAAATAGGTACAGGGAGAAAGGATTGCCAGTAAGTATAAAGGATCACTTTTTGCAATGCCAAGCAAAGCAGAAAAAGAGAGGTTAAGTACAAAATAAAGCTGCCTACATGAAAGAGATGGAAAAAGATGACTAGGTTAATGAATAGGAATATGATGGAGAGGGCTGGGAAGAAAAACAGCAGTGGCAGGATGCATTAGAAGTGAAACAAAAAATGTAATGTAAGTGCTAAATGAAAAAACCTGCTTTCTGGCTTCGCTTTTGTTGTGTGTTGAGGGAAAAATCAATGACAGCGTTTCGAGGGGGAGTTTCTACCCGGGGCAGGGAGCGCGCGCCGCGTTGTGCCGCGCTGCCCCACGCTCCGAACCCTGCAGGGCCAGGCCCAGGAAGGCGGAGGACGAGCCCGTGCGCCGCCGGTCCATGCGGCTGCAGCGAGCGGAGCGGCCCGCGCCGCCGCGCTCGCGCGGCTCCGCTGCACACACTGGTCGTGGAAGGGGAGTTCTGCCCTCAAGCTTCCTGAATAGGAGGCTTCTTGGGCATTCACCAAAAAGGAGTCAATGGTCTTTGAACCCGCTTGGTGAAACAGTGTGGTTTGGGGTGATCTGTAGGATCTCCAGGCAAAACATGCCTTTTTCAACTGTCCATGTATGCCAAGCAACTGCGCATTCCAAGTTTTATTACTCTTCTAATGTTACATCACTGTAACTTTTTGTAAGGCCTTTTTTTTCCCTTTGAAATATTTACTACCCTATTTTAAGTAGTTACATAGCAACAAGTAAAAATTCTATTGCCCTGGGATTGAAATCTCAATCTTCCACATTGCTGCAGAATAAAGGCATCTCCCTTTAATACAATTCTTCAAGATAAAGCCTGCAGAATATCAGGAAGGATAAACCATGGGGCAGCTATTTGCCTTTGCTGTTGTGTGTCACAAAGTTTATTTACTGTTCAATAACTTGTTTTGATAGAAACGTTTTACTGTTTGTTTCTTGTAGTCTAGTAGCTGTTCTCAGGGTGTCTTGTGTGTGGAGGGTTAGCAGTTCACCCTGTTCATAGGTTTAGTTGATTTCTGCTAGGAAAATTACCGGTATCATTCCAGCCTCAGGTTCCGCCTGGACCTGTGTCGATGCTTCCTGAGGATCAGAAGGAGAACAGCAAGGTGACGGAGGAGTTCCTGGCTATGTGGACAAGGATAAGTGAGGTATTGCTAGTTTCAATTAATTACTTTTGAATAACATAATCTAGCCTGAACTCTAAATAATATCTATTTTCCTTCGTAGATGAAACCTGATGATGCACAAAAGCATTCACGTGACATGGAAAGGTAATCTGAAAACAACATCTAGAAATTGGCTGCTGTGGAGTTCACTCCTGTCTTGGCTAACTGGTGTCTCCGTGACCTGCAGATACGCGGCCAGCCTGGGCAGCATGACGCTGCACGCCGGTGACGTTAGCAAGGTGGTGAAGGCACGGGTGTGCTCCATGGCCATCCATCCCGCCGAGAGCGCCGTGCTCGTGGCCGCGGGGGACAAGCTGGGCCACGTCGGGCTCTGGAACGTCGTGAGTGGCTTTGTGCCCCGGCCCTGGGCGTGCAGGGGGGGCTCGAGCTTTCCCCTCTCCTGTGGGCAGCACAGGGGACATTTATAATGGACATGCAATTTTGCTTAACATAATCTAGCTTGAACTCCAAGTAACCCAATTCTGATATACCCCTGCTCTGACACGAGTGGTGTATGTGCATCTGTGCGGCTGTGAGCGAGGAATTCGGAGGTGGCACCTGGGACACCAGTGCTGTAATGGCATAGACCTGCACGGGAGTTGCAGCTTGTCCAGTTGAAGCAATGGAATTCTGAAGCTGTAGGATCTTGGAGCTCCAAATTCTTGGAGCTCTTTTGGGCTGGAGCGCTTACGCGGTGGCGAGAAGGGTCCTGGGAGGGGACGTGGGCCCGCGCAGCAGCGGTGCCCGTGGAGCTGTTCTCCTGCAGCACCTCCACACCCGCTGCTCAAACGGGCTGAGAACACTTGCAAAACGGAGACGCTCCTTAGGAAATGGCAATAATTGGGAGAAATACCCGTAACGGTTAGCATCTGTGTCCATGCAGTCTCAATTGTGTTTTTCAGGACTGTGAGACTGAGCAAGCAACACACGTCTTTATCCCACACAATTATCCAGTCAGCTGCATGCATTTTTCTCCAGCTAATCCTGCTCACTTGGTGTCTCTGAGCTATGACAGTCTGCGGTGCGGTGACGTTACCAGGGCTGTCTTCGATGAGGTGGGTGTTCCCTTGGATATTCTGCAGACTCCTTAGGAATCTCTTAGCGTGCACTCCCGTGAGGTCTTAATTCCACTGTACCCAAATTACTATTTGTCGGTTGTTTTGGTAATAAGAAAGTTGAAAATTCCATTTCTGCGAAGATAACTGAAGTGTAATGAACATTATGAAATGTGGAGAGGCGTCCTCGTCTGTAAGCAATAGTGACAGCCTGGGCACTCCCGATTTCCTTCCTGCAGAGCCACTTGCAATTTCATACTGAAATTAATTTCATGTCTCCTCACTTCAGCAATATGTGCCTCTCCTTTCTGAAGAGAGAACCTCTTAAAGATAGTGAATGCCAGCAGTCTGAAGAGCTAAACCTTACAAAAAGCCATCACGAAGCAGAGGCTGCTGTTCTCAGGCTTGCCGGAGCGGCTGCCGTGGCTGCGCGCGCTTTGGTGCCTGTTTGCTGCCCTGGTTTGTTTTTGGACAGACACGTCTGCCTTCATCAGGCCCCCAACATTAGAAAACATAACCGGCTGCAGCGGTTTAATGCTTTTTTTTTCCAACCCCCTTAGAAGCACCATAATCTTACGGCATCTGCAGGCCAGCCAGCTACTTGCAGTTGGTGACCAAGGGAGCCAGGAAATCCATTCCTGATCCCTGCACTCGCAGGAGTCCGTGCGGAGGGATCCTGGGAGAGCCATGCTCTTTTCCTGCCCTACCTGCCTTGTGCCAAATTACATGGCTCTGTGACACCCCTTACAGAATTACTGGCACTGCAAAGAAAAAAGCTGTTCATAGGGATCTTGTAAACCTTTTACCAAGTTCGCGGTGTTTTGCTTTCCATTTGGCTTTGTTTTGGATTGTTAATTATCTCCTCTGTGAAAAGCATGCTAGTGTTATGAAAAGGTTACCTAGATGAAGAGCTAAGGCTGCAGCTATCAAATTAGGTAGTATTCATTGATATTTTTAGAGTATGAAAAACTGAAAGCATTGTGGTTATTATGAATAATGGAGTGGTTTGCAGCATCATGTCCGTTTCATTTTGGCCTTTCCTACGCTCAGATTTGCAGAAGTGAGGAAAGCTTTTCCTCCTTTGACTTCCTGGAGGAAAATGCCTCCACGCTGATCGTAGGACAGTGGGATGGAGCGGTGGCGCTTGTGGACGTGCGGACCCCGGGGACGTCGGCAGAGCTCTCTGCAAACATTGACTTCAAAAGGACGAGGACGGTCCACGTTCACCCGGTGAACAAGCAGTATTTCCTTGCTGCTGGCGCGCTGTACGTACCTCACCAACCTGCATTATGCTGTGCTTTAAGTGCTCCATTTGCACCAGGTTTTGCAAAAGTCAGCTAAAAAAAGGCCTGTTTGGAGAGCAGGATCAGCTGGGGAGGAGGACAGTTTGTCAGCCTCAGGACATAGTCAAGACTTTGTGGTCTTCTTAGAAAGCCAGTTTTTATGTCTAACCAGAAGTAAGAAGTGATACTGACTTCGGTTTACCTATTGGTAAGGGGTTTGAAATGGGCTTTTGAGTTAGCGAGTTGTTTGGAGAGAAGAGCACATCACATTAACAATAACTGCTGAAACTAGATTGTAAGCACAACCTGCATAAAACCTGTGCTGATCCCTCGAGGATGTTTTGGTGACCAGACAATACGGCTGCGGTCGTGGCCTTTGTCGCCCCGCGACGCGCTCCTCGCGCTGTGTGTTCCAGGGACGTCCGCGTTTACGACGTTCGGTGCC